TTTTTCAATGAGTTGCTTAATCCACAAGAAATCTCTCTTCCGTATTTGCCAATTTGGGTATGATTTGACTTGTAGAACTCCTTTTGGACCTCGGTGAAAGTTGGATTTGCTTCACTGCCAGATATGCTTGTTTTAGCCATAAATTTAGTGCCCACTCCAAATCCATCTCTGTTTGAGCCCATGAGCTAGTATTTTCATCCTCCTTCTCATCCGTTGGGTCTCTTGGTAATCCATATTAGTCTTGAATGCATTATATTATTGAAAATCACAAAACAATACAAAAGCCGTAAAGTAGTACAAAAACACATTCAAGGTCTACCTTAAGCTCTTAAGTAAGATAATTAAGATATTCATATGAAATATAATAAAAAAATACTAAAATTACATTGGTAAATAGAGAAATGTATCAACTATGAGAGTTATAAACTCTATAAATTGAGCTTTATCACATAACAAAAATTACAAGAATCAATTCTTACCTTCATCGTGCCTTCAAACATCAATGTCACAAAAAATATGAAATGAGGCTGACCACTTAGATATTAAACTAGTTACAACATTAGCATATCACAAGGGCACCTCAATACCAATAATGCCCGTGAATTGGTTGATGCTACAACTTACAAAAGTCTTGTTATCAAACTTATTTATATTACTATCACAATAACTTATACTAGTTTTGCTACCAAACAAGTAAGTCAATTTAAGATTGAACCTTCAATGATCCAAAAAAGGAAATAACATGCATACTTAGATGCATTAAGAAAAATCCATGTCATTCTTGTTTTTACTTCTTGCTCATCGTTTAGTCTCAAGACTTTCTGTGATTATGTTTGGGAGGCATGTGTAGGTACTAGAAGGTATATGAAAGGCTAATGTGTCTTTCTTGGAATTTTTTTTACGGGTGATTTCGATTGATTTTAAAATTAGATGTTACTCGAGAGATTCGAATTTAAAATCTTTAGGTTTAACACTAGTGGTATTACTTCAAAATTCTTTCCTTTTTTGAAAATCCAGTAAACAAACCACTATCTCATGATCCTCATATGAGGCTGAGTATAGTGCTTTGGCATACACAACTTGTGACGTGCAATGACTGCCTTTTTCTTCTTCACGACTTCTAGGTTCAACATCATCAACTAGCGAGTTTTTACTATGATAACCAATGTGCAATTTACATTGCACAAAATCCCACTTTCCATGAGTGAACCAAACACATTAAATTGTCATCTAATTTGTGAAAAAACCCTTGGTCACCTTGTCAAGGTTCTCCATGTCCCATAGGATCATCACCTTGCTGACATCTTCACCAAGACATTGTCTCCTGTTTCACTACTCTTCTCTCAAACACTGGGTACTTAACCCGCCCATTCCCTCCATCTTATGAGAGTAACAAAAAAAAAATGTTTTGTTTTCTTCAGCCATTAGTCTCGAATTGGCTCGAGACACATGAAGATATATGGTCACTAAACTGAACGTTGTCGTTTCCAGTGTTGCAGTACCGCTGGGCTTACTCGCGGTACCGTTTTTCTGTTTCGCGGTACCGTTTTTCCCCAAACGACACCGTTTTTTTATCGCGGTATCGAATTAAATGCCGAGACTAATTAATGCGGCATTTAATTCCGGCCAAAAATATTTTAGGTGTAAACAGTAACCCATACGCATGTCCGAATTAGATGTTCTGTTTTCACCGTAAAACACCAAATATAGGAGATGCAGTTTGTCAACCTTCTCTCTTATCCGATCCGATGGCATCTCGTTCCCAACGGAGACACCAAAGGCAGCATCTCCACCTTGTTCGCTTAACACTATTATTGTTGCTGCATTGTTTAGTTTCTCTACTCTCGATCGACGTGGCAGGACATGTTTCGTTGCCGGATCCAACTGCCAACATCTCTCGTCTCCTACGAAACCGTCCTGCTATCTGCATGCCCAATGGAATGGAGTTTTTTTCCTCTTACACTGAAATTTGTATTCTTCTTGTTCTAATTAATCAATAATCACTGTCTCACACGTACACTTAGTTTTTTTCCCCCTTTTCCTAAATCAATGTTATGTTTCTTGTGTGTACGTACGTGATCATATTTCTAGTTATATTTGATCAATTATTCACAAAGAAATTTGTATTCTTCTTGTTCTATATATAGTTATGCCGTCTAAGCGCGAGCCTCGTTTTTTTGTCTAATTTTCATTGATGAATTATGATGCAATCATGGTATGATGGTAACACACTAGAATTTGGATGTTAAATCACAATGACAACTTTTTTTAGTTGATCCTTCAAAAAAAAAAAAAACAAAAACAAAAAAAATTTGTTTTAGTTGATCACTAATAATTTCATTTTTTATGGGGATACCTATAATTCAATTTGGTTAAAGTAAGCTGATTAATAACTACAATGTGATATATATATATATATATATATATATATGATACGTCAGTTATTTATTATTTGAAGTTTTCCGCCCATTGACTCTTTCGCTAGCTGTTGACGAAAATAAATTACATATCAATGAAGAGTTTCATCCTCCCCAGGAGCCTTACCCAGATACCCGGGTTTGTTGGTTTTTTCTTGTTCATCCAGTTAGATACCGGCCGCCCCAACTATCTGACAGTGATATAACTCATTTTTCATGCAGATGCAATCGGTCTTATATAATTGTTTTTCTTTTTGTCTCTAAACTAGATCCTGATTTTTGGTGGCTACATGTATAGGAATTATGTAAGCATTTAAAAATATAATAGACTTAAAATCATAATAAACTATATTTAAAATATATTTATATTGAGAATTTTAGACAAAATACAGCCATAACTACGACATTTATAACAAATATAGTTATTTTTAAAATAATGAAAATATAGTATATTTTTTTTTTTGGTATATAAAATATAGTATATTTGAGATGTTCATTGTAAAAATATAGCCATATTCATTAGAAATATTAATGAAATTAGAAATACCGTTAAAACGTTAACAACCCACAAACATAAACAAAAAATACAACCCACAACCCACATTAAGAAGTAAACAACCCTAACTTACCATTAAACACCTAAACACAATTGAGCAGTAGCCACAAAGACATCAGAACTATCTTTGGACGAACAAAAAGGAAACAAAACAAAACACTGAGAGATCTTGAAGGCAGGGGCAGAACCGAGATTTGAGTCTCGGAAGCTGAAATTATTTACGGTACAATTACCGAAAAGCAAAACAATATAAAATTAGTATTTTTACTATAATAACGGTATAATATATTATTTGAGATAATAAATACCCTAAATTATAATTACTATTTTGATATATTCAAAATAAATAAGTAAACTACAAAAAAATAATAATCATGCATTTCAATATGTAACACGTTTTTCAATATATTCACAAATGAAAATGAATTGAATATAAGGTAAAAAAGGTGAACGAAATCATTGTAGAAGATGGACACACTATTTCGAGCCATGCCATGCCACCATATCAAAATTTAAAGGTGCCCCATACAACATTACCCCTGACCATAACCGAGCTTCCTAGGTGAAAAGGCAATCAACCACCAACAAGCATAAATCTTGAAAAATCATATTAATTAAAACAAAACCATCTCTTAAAAAGATATTTGTGGATGGATCCCACTTAGAGAATAGGAAAGAGCCACAAAGGATGACGAAAAAGGCAGAGAAACATAGTACATAAGCAGGAAAACAAAAAAGACTACTGACACAACCGACGCGCCAATGCCCAACAGTGTACCTTGAATGTTACAAGGATGAGTATTAAGAATGATGATTTACCATAAGGTTAGTTGTTTTAAGGGATGACAACAAAATTCGAACACACTGATACCCTATCGGATCCAAACCGGCCAACGTGTAAAATTCGTGTTGATGGGTTTTGGGCCGGGTTCGGGTTTAAACCCGCCACACTATTTACGGGTTGGGTTTGAGTTTAGGTATACCAGCCCCATGGATACCCGTCGACACCCATATAATTAATTTTCCGGTATATTTAATATTCTAAGCAATATATCTTTCTTAAACAACTAATCTTGTTTATGTTTGTGTAGACATGTCTAATTTGATATTATGGAGTGGAGAGTGAAGAAGTTTAGTTGACAAGGAGGAAATAGCTTTCCATTATAAAAAACGAAAAACCATTTGCAACCCCGGCACAACAGGGAAAAGGAGTAGAAACGACTCCAAGCGGCTACACAAAACAAATCCAAGATGAATTTCGGCAGGAAAATATAGTCAAATACAATAGATCATAAATCCGGCATAAAAAAACCAAAAACCATTTGCAACCCCGATACAACAAAGAAAAGGCGGTGAAACGACTATAAGCAGTTATATATACAAAACAAATCCAAGTACTTATTTGCAAAACAAGGATAAAAACCAACCAAATCCTAAACTCACAAAAACTATGTTCAAGTCCGACAGAACGGGAAAAAAATGGTCCAACGATCCTAAGTAGGGGTGGCTATTTGGTTTGGGATTTTTGGTTTTACCCGAAACCGGACCGTATAACCCAAACCGAGACCGGAACAGGACCACGGAGAAAACGGGCAAACGACTGTAAACACGATCGATATGCGAAGGGAAAATGTATTAATTACTAAGAGTGAATAGTGGCACTCCGCTTTTACCGGGTCGAATTAGGTCGAATATCCATTGATTTGGGCTCAATTTGTCATAAGATAATTAATTAAAATCTTAATTACACAAAAACTCTTCCAAACTATGGCTAATTACATAAGGGTCACCCCTTGTGATGTAACTATACGAAATAGTGTTTTAGAACTTGTGTTTTAGAGAGTTAATTTGCTCACCATGGCAATAGATCCAAATTCCAATTTGTTTTCTTTTGAGAGGTTGGATGAATTAATGGGAAACAGCATAACAAATTGTATAAATAAGAACAAGTCCCCCAACTCAATGAAAGATTGCGGAGAAATATTTCCTAGCATCGATTATCAGGAAAGAAACAAAGAAAGAGAACGATGATATCGAAACCTTGTCTTCCGCCGGGGTTCAGGTTTCACCCAACGGACCAGGAGCTTCTCATCTACTACCTCAAGCAGAAAATCACATTCTCTTCTCCTTCCAACTCTTCTTCTTCGTCGCCGTCCATTAATATCAATTGTCCCGATCAAGTCTCTCTCATCGCCGACATCAACATCTACAAGTTCAATCCATGGGAGCTCCCAAGTGTGTAATCTTCACCAAGCCTACTTGGTCCCAATTCTTCTCCTAACTAGCTAGTTCTAACAATATTTCTTGGTCATTGGGTAATAGGCATGGCTTTGTTTGGGGAGAGCGAGTGGTTCTTCTTCAGCCCACGGGACAGGAAGTATCCCAACGGGGCTCGGCCCAACCGGACGGCGGGCTCCGGTTACTGGAAAGCCACGGGTACCGATAAGCCCATACTATCCACCAATGGCGCGCAGTGCCTCGGCGTCAAGAAGGCGCTTGTGTTCTACCAAGGCCGACCTCCCAAGGGGAGAAAGACTAGTTGGATGATGCTCGAGTATCGCCTCCTCGACGACCCTAACCAGCTCCGCACTCTCAAACGCTCCATGCGTGTAAGTTTTTCAGATCAACTGATTTTCGACATAAAAATTATAATTTTTAACATTGACGTTTGGATTGCTATTGAAGCATATTGAAAGTGAATCTTACATCATCTATTTATTTACGCAAGTTCATTATGTTTAAATTACATATGCATATCCAATGTTTTGGCGTCAATATAGTTAAGCTTTACTACTGAGGATTACTAAGATTAAATAAAAAATCTTTTTGATGTTGTTAATAATTCTAGTTATTGCGATTGTTTTGTTGTTGCAGTTGGATGATTTTGTGTTGTGCCGGGTAAGGCTGAAGAGCAACGGGCCCAACCCAATAAGAGAAGAGAGTGGTTTCATAAACGGCAGCGGTTCAACTCCACTGATCTCCATGGGGAGCCAGCTGCCGCTAGGCTTGCAAGAAACGACGACGGTTAAGGATGAAAGCAAGACGGGCGGTCTTCAGCTGCACGACGGCTACGGGGGATACGATTTCCAAGCATGCCTGGCGTCCCTAGGACACGAAGGCCACGCTGACGTGGAAGCTGGAGGAGGAGGAAATGATCATCATAAACAGGAAGCGTGCACTCCAAGGTACTCGAAATGCGAAACGACGGCGTCTTCTGCCGACGACGCCTTTGAATATTATTCCATCGGGAAGGGGCTTTCCTTCGGAGGGTTTGAGGACCTGGAGCCGACGCCGGCGAAGAAAATGAGGTTGCTAGAAGTAGAAGAAACTCCTACTTTGAGTAGCAGCCGTAGTAATTATCCAAGAGATGATGATGGCAAATTACACGACCAAAGTAGTACAGTGACTATCTTTGACGTGTCATCGTGCAGCTTGTCCCACTACTAATTTCGGGTTTCGTCGAAATGATATATGTTGATTTGGCGAAGAAGACGATGACGAGAAGCACCAATTAAAACTTTGGTTTAGCAACTTTTATCGGTTAGTTTCTTCTCTTTTCTTTCTATAATGACGGGATGTCCATTCAACAAGTGAGCGATTGTGAAGATCCAGATTTCATGAATATTCATGAACACAGATGAAAATTTGTAACCGAATCAATATTTTCCGAACGAGGAAGACATGAATTGGAGAGTGGAGGAAATTCAAGTCTTTTTTAACTTCATGATGCATTAACTTGTACTATGTTGATTTGCCCCCACCAGTACATTAGACTGAAATGTCATATGGAAGAAAAAAAATAATATGTGTCTTCTTCTTGTTCTCTACTCTTGTACATTCAGCCAATTTTGTTGTTGTTAAATTGGCTCGTCTATAATAACTTGTAGTGTAGGCATGCATTGTAACGACGTTAGTTGTTGTTGGCGGGAGAGACAACTATCGATCGATTGAACGTACGTAACCCATACGCATGTCCGAATTAGATGTTCTGTTTTCACCGTAAAACACCAAATATAGGAGATGCAGTTTGTCAACCTTCTCTCTTATCCGATCCGATGGCATCTCGTTCCCAACGGAGACACCAAAGGCAGCATCTCCACCTTGTTCGCTTAACACTATTATTGTTGCTGCATTGTTTAGTTTCTCTACTCTCGATCGACGTGGCAGGACATGTTTCGTTGCCGGATCCAACTGCCAACATCTCTCGTCTCCTACGAAACCGTCCTGCTATCTGCATGCCCAATGGAATGGAGTTTTTTTCCTCTTACACTGAAATTTGTATTCTTCTTGTTCTAATTAATCAATAATCACTGTCTCACACGTACACTTAGTTTTTTTCCCCCTTTTCCTAAATCAATGTTATGTGTGATCATATTTTTAGTTATATATGATCAATTATTTACAAAGAAATTTGTATTCGTCTTGTTCTATAGTTATGCAGTGTATGCGCGAGTCTCGTTTTTTGTCTAATTTTCAATGGTGAATTATGATGCAATCATGGTAATTAACACTAGAATTTGGATGTTAAATCACAGGCCACTTGTCTATTTTATACTTTATTCTTTAATATCATCATATATTTTTTATGTTAAACAATTGCTGAAACGGAACAAGAAGACATTGTTTATTACACAAAACTCCCGAATCCCGATCGACCGACGAGCTAGCTTGATCGCGTATGCGGTAGGGTTTCTCCGGCAAGCAATCAATAAGTTTAAGGGAGGGCGGCTGGCATCAATCGGGTGCTAGAACGGGGCTCATGACGGTCGTGATTTCGACTGCCGGATTCCGGGATCTGAGTAGTCATGGCCGATCGGATACAAAATTGACGTCGATGACGGTGGTGAGAAGGAGGAACGGAAGGTACGATGGGGCTTTCTATTGATTTTGTTTTATTCTTTAAATTTCTAATTAATTTAATAGCTAAATCCAACCAACCCAAAAATCATAACACAACAGACCGCTTCAAAACCATTCCAAACCATGGTAAAGGAAACCGTACCGGAAGTCATACCGGATTTATATATGGTATGATATTTTGTGGTACAAACGTGGTTCAATCGTATCATATCGGTAAATACCGTTTTTGTAATAGTAAAATACTTTTTTTGTAAAAAAACCGTACCGGCGAAAACATGATACCGTTCCGAAGTAAAACCGGAATAATATCGAAAAATACCAGATAGAAAATAATAAAATATTAACATAAAAATTATAGGTATATAATGGAATAACTTAATATTGTAGGGACTAAACACATAGAATAATTTCAGGTATCATGCAATAATTTTCCAATCCATCTAGAAAACTCTTTGTCTACTCTATTGTCTATTCACATTCCAATTTCCATTTTCAGTACTGTCTCTCCACTCTCTCTCTCTCCATTTTACAAATTCCAATCTGCTTCTCTCTTGCAACAATACTTCTCTTACGAACAAAAAACTAAAAAGGCAGAGAGGGAGGGTAGAGTCTTGGCGACGTGAAGGAGATCGGAGGGAATGATGGCGGTCAGCGGAGAGGGGACTGCAATTTATTTGAGATGGCAACCGCCACCGCCGCCAACGGGGAAAACCGCCGCCAACGAGAGCGTTGGAGACTCGGTGGCGTTCTCAAGCTCGTCTTTTTCGCCGGTCGTCGGAGACAGGGATGAGTTGGGGAAGATGAAGGGCGGTTCGCGGTCGAAGAGAAGAGAAGAGAAGAGAAGAGAAGAGAAGAGGGAGACTCAATGGCGTTCTCGAGCTCGTCCTTCTCGTCGGTCGCCAGAGGCAAGGCTGTGCTGGAGAAGGCGAAGGACAGCGGCGTTCTTGAGTAGTCGAGCTCATCCTTGTCGTCGGTCGCTAGCGGCAACGGTGAGCTAGAGAAGAGTAGCGGCGGGGTGAATCTGGAGAAGAGAAGTGGAGCGGTCTATTAGGGATTGGGGTTTGGCTTTCGCCTTTCAGAGTTTGGAGCTTTGTTTTTTTTTATAAATAATTTTGTTGCACAATACGGCGACGTTCAGTTTCAAATAGCCTACCACCGGTGGAAACAAAACCGGCCGATATTTCCTTTCGGACCGGTTAAACCGAAAAACCGGGCGGTACGATAATTCAGCCACTAAATGGCTGCCGTTTCATTTCTGGTCCGATTTCCAGTTTTATCGGTCGAACCGGCCGGTACGATCCGGTTTCCTGGTCCATGTTCCAAACCCATTTGAACCGGCGATAATCAAATTACGGCACCGCAAAATTCCCCTAAATCACAATGACAAATTTTTCAGTTGATCCTTCACAAAAAAAAAAAAAAAAAAATTTTTAGTTGATCACTAATAATTTCATTTTTTATGGGGATACCTATAATTCAATCTGGTTAAAGTAAGCTGATTAATAACTATAATTAGGGATGACAACAAAATCCAAACCTACGGGTATCCGACCCAACCCGATCAACGCGGGTAAAATCCGCGTTGACGGGTTTCAGGTCGAGTTTGGGTTTAAATCCGTACATTATTCACCGTGTTGGATTGAGTTTGAGTTTAGGGGTATCCGACCCATGGATATCCACCCACACTTATTTCGTCGCCCTACTCTCCCCAAATCCTATCATAATTCTAATTTCCTCCAATCTAACTCTCACTACACTTATTTGTGTGATTTTATTTAGTGTAATTGTGATATTTTAGAATTTTCTAGATTGGTGTTTTATTTATGGATAATTTGTATGGAAAAATTGATGTTTGAATTTTATTTTGATAGGAACTTGTTATTGTAAATTTTTTACCACAAAAACCCATGGGTATCAATTAACCTACGGATACCCAGCGGGTTGGGTTGGATTTGAGTTTTCCAAACCCAGTGAATTTTACCACGAGCTTTTTTACGGATAAACCTATAGATTTGTATTTGGTAAAACCCCACCCAATACAACCCATTGCCATTCCTAAAGTACAATGTGATATATTTCTCATACGTCATTTATTTATTATTTGAAGTTTTCCGCCCATTGACTCTTTCGCTAGCTGTTGATGAAAGAAATACATATCAATGAAGAGTTTCATCCTCCCCAGGCGCCTTACCCAGGTACCGTGGTTTGTTGGTTTTTTCTTGTTCAGCCAGTTAGATACCGGCCGCCCCAACTATCTGACAGTGATATAACTCATTTTTCATGCAGATGCAATCGGTCTTATATAATTGTTTTCTTTTTGTCTCTAAACTAGATCCTGATTTTTGGTGGCTACATGTATAGGAATTATGTAAGCATTTAAAAATATAATAGACTAAAAATCATAATAAACTATATTTAAAATATATCTATATTGAGAATTTTAGACAAAATAGAGCCATAACTATGACATTTATAACAAATATAGTTATTTTTAAAATAATGAAAATATAGTATATTTGGGATGTTCATTGTAAAAATATAGTCATATTCATTAGAAATATTAATGAAATTAGAAATACCATTAAAACGTTAACAACCCACAAACATAAACAAAAAATACAACCCACAACCCAAATCAAGAAGTAAACAACCCTAACTTACCATTAAACACCTAAACACAATTGAGCAGTAGCCACAAAGACATCGGAACTATCTTTGAACGAACAAAACGGAAACAAAACAAAACACTGAGAGATCTTGAAGGCAGGGGCAGAACCGAGATTTGAGTTTCGGAAGCTGAAATTATTTACGGTACAATCACCGAAAAGCAAAACAATATAAAATTAGTATTTTTACTATAATAACGGTATAATATATTATTTGAGATAATAAATACCCTAAATTATAATTACTATTTTGATATATTCAAAAAAAATAATTAAACTACAAAAAAAAAATTATCATGCATTTTAATATGTAACACGTTTTTAAATATATTCACAAATGAAAACGAATTGAATATAAGGTGAAAAAGGTGAACGAAATCATTGTAGAAGATGGGCACACTACTTCGAGCCATGCCATGCCACCATATCAAAATTTAAAGGTGCCCCATACAACATTACCCCTGACCATAACCGAGCTTCCTAGGTGAAAAGGCAATCAACAGCCAACAAGCATAAATCTTGAAAAATCATTTTAATTAAAACAAAACTATCTCTTAAAATGATATTTGTGGATGGATCCCACTTAGAGAATAGGAAAGAGCCACAAAGGACGAGGAAAGTCAACAAAGACGAAAAAGGCAGAGAAACATAGTAAATAAGCAGGAAAACAAAAAAGATTACTGACACAACCGACACGCCAACGCCCAACAGTGTACCTTGAATGTTACAAGGATGATTATTAAGAATGATGACTTACCATAAGGTTAAGGTTAGTTGTTTTTAGGGATGATAACAAAATTCGAACCCACGGGTACTCTATCGGATCTAAACCGGCCAACGTGGGTAAAATTCGTGTTGATGGGTTTTGGGCCGGATTCGGGTTTAAACCCGCCACACTGTTTACGGGTTGGGTTGAATTTG